CTCTGTTATTCTGCAGAGTTGAAAGAGGTTAACCACCTTTGCATCACAAACATCAACATCTGGCAAATTAAGATGTTTGGGTCTTCCTGGGATGCTCCCTCAAAAGGATTGAAGTTTCACTCGGAATATCCTTGTGACCCTGTCCAACAAGTCGCCGTTATTTTATTCTACACATCAACCAACCCTGATCCCACTCGCGAGTTGGGTTCTTTAGAAGATCCATTAGATCAGTGTTTCTCAACCTTGGCAACTTGAAGATGCCCGGACTTAAACTCCCAGAATTCCCCAGCCAGCGAATGCTGGCTGGGGAATTCTGGGAGTTGAAGTCCAGACATCTTCAAGTTGCCAAGGTTGAGAAACACTGCATTAGATGCAGTGAACTTCTTGGTTGGCCTTCAAGTAACAATACAGGGACTCCTTGACGTACGTCCACAACTGAGCCAAGAAACAAGTCCTTGTGGTCATTAAGCAAGGTCTCCACCTGACCATTTCACTCAATGACCATAATTCCAGCTCTCCTGTTGTGGTAGCTAAGTGATTATTAAGTCAGGGGTCTCCAAACATGGCAATTTTAAGACTTGTGGACTTCAATTCCCAGAATTCCCCAGCCAGCCATGGGGAATTCTGGCTGTGGAGGTGAAATTCTTGATGGATTTTCAAGGGTCTCTCAGAAAATTCAGCAGGAGAAAGGGAGAAAATGAGAGCTGTCAATTGCTATCCAGAATTTCTATAGTGAACAATTTGAAATCCAGTCACTGTGGACATTGTACGGTGTACAAAGGTGGAGAGGAATCTTGTCATTGCCGATGGCTCTGGATTGGCCAATGGGAGACCTGGATTGCCAGGCCTGGAAGCCATTTTTTGCACTGGGCCTTCAGGCCTGCCAAAGTTTCTACTGTGGGAAAATGGGAGGAGGGATTATACAGAGTGTGGGTGACATGTAGCCATAACAACATTCTTTCTCAGAAAGTCAAGGTCATCTGGCCATGCAGCTGTGATGAGATGACTGGTAGGTAACTCCTGGCTTGGATGATACTTGATTGGCTCATGGGATGGACATGTGGGTGCTGGGCAGGGACTTGGACTTTCACTTGGGTGGGGAAAACCTGGAAACTTTCAGATTTGGGTTTTCCCAGATGTGCCAATATGACAACTCTAATAAAATGGAACTTGGAGGAAACTCGAGCCTCTGAGTCTTCTTTCGTTGGGGGTCTTTACTTGGAACCCTGGCATGGGTGATGCTTTGTTGCTTCATGTTACTCTCTTTGGGGCTTTATTTGTTATTTAAGTGCAACCTGCTGCTTTTCAGACACACGCATGCAGAGTCCTCAAACTTTAAATAATTGAATAAAATATTGTTGTGTTGTGCTGGATTCCTGGTGCTTTGCCAGATATGTGTATAAATATCAGAACAGAACAGAATAACGAAGTTGGAGGATCTTCAGGTCTAACCCCCTGCTTAGGCAGGAAACCTTATGTCATTTCAGACAAGTGGCTCTACAAGCATCTAAAATGGTTAAATCCAATCTCTTCTTAAAAACCTCCAGTGTTGGAGCATTCACACCTTCTGGAGGCAACTTCAGTTCCACTGATTAATTGTTCTAACTGTCAGGAAGTTTCTCCTCAGTTCTAAGTTGCTTCTCTCCTGGATTAGTT